CACTAGTCAAATTGACATTCTTTCGAGTGAATACATATTTTGTACAAAGACGTGAATCATCGAAAAAAAGGTTTCTTGATGGACATTTGTATAGCGATAAAACAACGAAGGACATAGAAGCTAATGATGCTAAAGCAGTTCATCACAAGGTTGAGATGTATCACCGAGACGATGGCATCTACCAAGTGACAACTAGACGTGGCAATAGAGAACAAAAAAAGAGTTTTCATACCCATACAATCAACCTTAGTCATAAAACTTGCACATGTAACAAGCTTCATACATACAAAATTCCTTGTTCCCATGTTCTTGCTGTATGTAGGTCATATAGTTTGTCACCAGCTCAATTTGTTGACCCATTTTATTCAAGTGGTGAATATATGGGAACATATAGAGCTACATTTCATCCTATCCTTGTCAAAGACTATTGGACACATTATAATGGACCAAAAGTTGTTGCCGATGCTAGTCACAAGCGTAGTCCTGGACGACCACCTTCCCAAAGATTACGAAATGAGATGGATGAAGGTAATCGAGCAAGGGTGACATGTAGTGTTTGTCGACAAAAGGGACACAATAAAAAAACTTGTTCATCAAGGTTAGCTAATTTTTTAAGATAATTTTCTTATATGTATATATAATTGTTCAAACGGAATTACTTTTCTTACTAACAATGTTGCATGTCTACTCTTTAACAGATCAAATGGAGCTTCCAACTCTACTTCTTGGCCAACATGACTCTTCAAATTTTCATTTGAAGCATGAGCACACATCTGTACCTTGAAGGTTGTCCGATCATCATCTCCAAATTCATAAAAACTGGTGCTAAATTGAGTTTTTTACTTAGCTAGTATGACATGTTTTGAGTTATTTTGTAATAAAGTAATATCATATTCAAATTGATATTGCATTGTAGAACTAGCATTTGGTTTCAAGAATGGTGATTGAGTGCCCTTTGATAATTTAGATTCGACTAAATAATGCATTTTGTATCATGTTACATATACGTTTTTTTTACAAGGTTATATCCATAACAAAAATGCTAGAAAATTTTTAAACATTTATATTACTTCGTATTCACTCTGGTCAAGATACTGTAAGCGTTAAAGATAAAGAATTTGATGGTATACATATATACTTGGATTGTATTAGCCATTAATTTTTAACTCCTAGCTTTGTAATTTCCGAACCTACATGGACACTACTTTGAGAAATATTTTTAAGTGAACACTATTTTAGTAATTTATTTATTTTTTAACACCAATTTGGAAAATTGTTCATTAATATGAGTTAGAAATTAATTCAAATACAACTGCATGAAAAAAAAATTATTATTAACAAACCTCAAATGGTTATTTTGAAAATAGTTTAAGGACATTCAAATAACTAATGTCTTAGAACTAAAAAGATTATAGACCGTAATAGAAAAGAATGAAAGGAGAACAACAAACAAGATTTTAAATTTTATGGCTATCCACGACTTTGATTACATATTACAATTTTATGAATTATAGCTAATTCTATTTATAGTACTCCAAATTTTTTTCTTTTTTTCTTTTCTTTTCAGTGTGACACTTTCACCAAAAACAATAAAAACGTGTGACACCAATATTTTATATATTATATATAGTATTATAATAAAAATTAAAGGTCAATATATATATATATATATATATATATAGGATCATGTAAAAACAAGTGTTAAAATAAAAACTGAAAACTTTTAATCTGAGCCTTTCATCAAATTGTATGGCTGAGATTTCTTTCCTTTTATTTTCAGACATTACTGAAGTTCTTTCCTCTTAGCTTGTTTTCAGACAATACTGAATTTCTCTCTCCTCCTTAATTTTCACGTTATTTTCTCTCTCCTCTCTATTCTCTCCTCTTTCGTACTTTCTCTCTCTTCAACCAGCTTCTCTATTACTCTCTCTACTGTGTTAAGAGCAAATTTTGGCGAAAAAACTCTAGATATCACAATTCAGGTATGATTATATTCGACAATTTGTTTGTTTTTTCACGAATTTTCAGCGATTTTTGTGATTTGATATTTGCGTTTTTTCTGTTCGATTTTCATGAATTTTGCATGAGTTCGATTTTTCTGATTTGATTTTAAGAGTTTCGCATGGAGTTTGATTTTTTTTTTAAGTTCGATTTTTGCAAATTTAGGCTTCGATTTTTGCTTATTTTTGTGGATCTATAGTTCGATTTTAGATTTCGAATTTCAGAGATTTAGTGTTCGAATTGAGGGTTTGATTTTAGCTGATTTTTGCGGATTTTGATTTTGAATTAATGGCTAGCTGTTTGGGGTACAAATAGCTAAAATGCGATTTGTGTGTCTGTGTATGTAAAACCCTATGTGATCTCTGTTCATGCTGCATGCTGGTTTGTTTGGGTTTGACAAGGGTTAGATGTACTTTGTGCTGCTTGTTGTGTTTGCCTAGGAGCTGACTTGCTTCTGTTTGCTGCTCCTGAGTTCGATTTTTTTGATTTGATTTTAAGAATTTTGCATGGAGTTTGATTTTTTTTTTTTTTAGTTCGATTATTGCAAATGTAGGGTTCGATTTTTGCTTATTTTTTCGGATATATAGTTCGATTTTAGATTTCGAATTTCAGAGATTTAGTGTTCGAATTAGGGTTTGATTTTTGCTGATTTTTGCGGATTTCGATTTCAAATTAATGGCTGTTTGGGGTGCGAATAGCTAAAATGCGATTTGTGTGTGTGTGTCTGTGTATGTATAGCCCTATGTGATCTAATCTGCTGGGTGCTGGTTTGTTTGGGTTTGACAGGGGTTTGTTGTGTTATGCTGTGCTACTTTGTGTTGCTTGCTGTGTTTGCCTAGGAGCTGACTTGCTTCTGTTTGCTGCTCTCTGCTGCAAGGCTGTTTGTGTTGTTCTGTGAAGCTTTGTTTCTTCTGTCTGCTGCTGGCTGCTTGTTTTTCAGTTGTGCTGTTGTTGTGGGCTGCTGTTATGCTTGACTGTTCTCTAGTCCTGCGTTGGTGTTCCTTGATGTTGTTGTGTTCCTCTCTTACAACCTGTCTTTGCTTATTTGTGTTGCTTTGTTTGTTGCTGTGGTGTTTTGTTTTCTTGTTGTTTGCCTTTGTTTGTTTTGGCTTTGGTTGTTTCCTAGCTTGTACGTTGCTAGCTTAGTTGTACAAGATGGTGATTGTGTTTCATGTGTCCGGTTTTGGAGGGGTGTTGGACTATGTTTTTTTTTGAAGTTTTGTTTAAAAAAAAAGTCACTATGCTATAAAAAGAGGCAACTACTTTGGTTTCTTTTGTTTATCTTTTCGTATGTCTTGTCACAGGATGCAACAAGGATTTTCATTCAATTTGGATTAGATTATATTTCTATGGTGAGAACTAGAGGTGGTGCGACTTTTAAAAAAAGGAGAGGCCTTCGTAGCTCAACAAGAGGAGTTAAATTGAAAGATACAGGAGGTATGATGAATGTTTGATTTTTGGATTATTAACCTTAATATTCAATTTTTTGAATTATATGATGTTAATTTTTGAGCAATACTAACTAGTAACACCTGTTAATATACTAGTTGCTTCTATTATGATAGTCTCCTAATACTATAGAATGTAGGTCCCTATATTAATATAAAAGTTACTATATTATTAGTTCCCTATGTAACTGAAAAAGGTCACTATATCAATGACAATGATTATTATTTTTAAGTTATTAGTTTGCTATATTATAATTGTTTGCTATATGAAAATGAAGATAATTGTATATATAACTATATGCTTGCGTGTTTTTGGTATGCTTATTCTTATTTAGGTATGCTGAATGTTTGATTTTTGGATTATTATACCTTAATATTCAATTTTTTGAATTATATGATGTTAATTTTTGAGCAATACTAACTAGTAACACCTGTTAATATACTAGTTGCTTCTATTTATATGATAGTCTCCTAATACTATAGGATGTAGGTCCCTATATTAATATAAAAGTTACTATATTATTAGTTCCCTATGTAACTGAAAAAGGTCACTATATCAATGACAATGATTATTATTTTTTAGTTATTAGTTTGCTATATTATAATTGTTTGCTAGATGAAAATGAAGATAATTGTATATATAAATATATGCTTGTGTGTTTTTGGTATGCTTATTCTTATTTAGCTGATTTGTTTAGCATGTATCAATCTCGATGATGAAGATGAAGAGCATATTGATGGTGGAAGCAAAATGATTGATGATGATACTAACAGAGATAAAGATGCTTGTATTGAAAAAGGATTGAAAAAGAAAGCTATCACTAAGAAAAAGAAACCTTCTACTAATGAGAATGCTACATCTTTGTCAACTGTGATGGAAGGAAAGAAGGGGAATGAGTCTTCTTCTTCACATGCTATTGTTTTGTCAGATAAGAAGAGAAAGTTGGACAAAAATGAAGGTCTTAAAGTGAAGAAAGTGAAGGCAAATAAGGATAAGAACATTGTGATTCATAGGCAAGAATCTGCAATCATAGATGGTGATGTACATATGCAAGTGAATATTTGTTTCTTTTTTTTGAAGTTTTGTTTAAAAAAAAGGTCACTATGCCATAAAAAGAGGCAACTATTTTGGTTTCTTTTGTTCATTTTTTCGTATGTCTTGTTACAGGGTGCAACGAGGATTTAAAACACGTTGCAAGCCATTTCATTTAGTAGAGATGATTAAATTTTTTTCAGATGATCAAATCAAGGCTGTTATAGAAATTGGCTTTGGAGGTTTGTTATCTTTGAAGGTGAAACGAACTGCAACTGATATGCTATCATGGTTGGTAGATTGTTTTGATCATGGTAGTTGCATGTTTACTATTGATAGTAAAAAAAAGATTTTGTTGTGACTGAATTTGATGTGTATGATGTTTTTTGCCTTCCTTGCAAAACATCTAAGAAAGTTGAAGAAAGTTCTCGTTGTGCTAATGTCATCAACCCTGATTATGATTTCTAGGTTAAATGGAGGTCTCATTTTGGTCTTATGGGTGAGAATGATTAGATTCCTTTGGGTTTTTTGGAATCTAAGATCCCTTTACTAGTAGATGGCGGGGAAGAATTCAGACAACTTTTTATCATGCATGCTTTTTCTAGTTTTTTAGCACCTACGTCCAACAGAATTGTGGATTTGAGAATTGTAAAATGTTTGGTTGAATCAAATAAGAACTTATGATTGGTTAAAATATGTCTTAGATAGACTTTGTGAAGCTGTGAAGAGCTACAAAGAAGGAAATATAGAATGGTTTTGTGGTTGTGTTTTTATGTTAGAGATTATCTATTTTCATCGATTGAGGTTTAGGAATGTTGTGTTAAATTCTACAATACCTTTAATTCAACATTGGACTAATGTGGATACAAGAGATAAAATTACAAAAGAAAAGTTGTCCAATGGTTTTGGGTGTGGCATTCTTGAGTTTGATACATATCCAGTGAGTGAGAAGTTGCAATTTGAGGATGGACAAGTTGTTTATAATCAATTCAAGGAAGCTCTTGTGAATCAAACTTCTGAAAAAGAATCTATTGTTTATGAAGGTGTTCGTAGCAATGTTAAGAGTGTTATTCAGCTTGAGCTACCTGCTAGTTCAATGTCTAATGAGGAAATCCGTTCAATCGCTATTGATGTAAGTATTTTACCCTTTAATTATGTCTGTGTGGTTTTTTTTTTTTTTTGTCACAAATTATTTTACTAAATCTAAGTACTACATTTTTTTTTTCACAGGAAGTTTATGAGAAGTTTTTGCTCATGAAAAGAGATTTAGAAGTGGTATCAAACTTCTACATGAATGAGTTGAAAGTCTTATTTCAGACTCGCAAACCTAATGATGCTTCAACTTCGACACCTCCAATGTCCCAAATTGATTTATTCTTTATGGATCCTCGTGTTCATGAAATTGTTGATGAGATTGTGTCTCTTGTAAATTGGGTAAGCAAAGTGCCTAATGGTTTGGATGATGATGATATTGATATTGATATTGATGATAATGGTGCACGTGCAAAAGAGATTAATGTTGTAGTTGGTGAAGTTTCAAGGATAGGTTTTGAGAAATAGAAAATCTAAATGCTCCCTTGCTATGGATGTTAGTCTCTTTGGTGATAAAGTTACATATGTAACTCAATATATGAAGTCAAGTAATAAGGATATGAAGGTTTTGGATGCAGTTGTCCAGGAACTTGTTGACTACTGCATTAGTGATTATCATGGTTTCGATCTCAAGTAAGTCATGTCATGGTTCTTTTTGTTATTTATTTTTTCAAACTTTAATAATAAGTGACTATGCAAATATACACATGTCTTTTTATTTCCTTGTACAGTGAGTTGTTGGTATCTTTTGGCAAACCATTTGAGATTACAAGGAATGAATTCCTTTCATTAGGTGAACCGACTATTGCTATATCTTCTGTTATTATTGATTGTTGGGCTTTGTTGCTTAATGAAAACCAGAAGAGTAGTGCACATGGACCTCAAAAACTATATTTTGGTGTTTCTCAAAGTGTAAGTATCTTTCGGCTATTCAGTTACTATATCATTATAATGGTAGTTGTTCATTATAAAAAATTCATAAATTGATTTCACTATGTATTGAAAACAGTCACTATGATTCATAAATTAATTTCACTATGCAATGAAAATAGTCACTATGTAATTCAAGTAATTACATGTAAGAAAAATAACTCTACCTTCTAACTTTTTTGATATTTATTAATGTTTGATCTTTTTTAGGCTTTTTTACTGGAAGTTGCAAACAAAGATAGTAACACACAAGACATTGACAAGCTATTTGACATTTGGTCAAGATGGTTGTTCATTCCTTGTAATGATTTCGATATTGCAAATGTTGAGTTGGTAATACATTGCAAATGTTGACAATCATTTTTCAACTAAGTACTTTTATATTAAGTTTTTCAAGCTTAATAGTTTTTTATTTATTTATTGCAGATAATTGTTCCTATACTCTTGAATGAACACTTTTTCCTAATTGTTGTGAATTTGAAAGAGAAAAGCTTCAGTTCATTTATAATATGAGTTATGATACAAAGTACATGAGTGAGGTTGAGAAGTTCTCTGATGTTCGGGTAAAAATATGATGTTTTGGATTTTATTTGTATTTTTCTAGTTAAGATATGCTGCATGAAACCTAAAGTATTATTTTATTTTTCCTAGAGTGATATGCTAAGTACTTTTCTTGATCAACGCCTTCCTCAAAGTAATGACTCAGTGAAGAACATGATTGAGTATACTTTGGAGTCACCTTCTCTAAATTGGAAGTCTGGAAAACAGAAGAATAATGATAGTGGCATTTATACTATGGTCAACATGCTTTACTTTGATGGAGCTGATGTGTTCAACTGCGATATTTTGAAAACGGTTATCTCGTCTCATTTTTTTTATTTGGCTTTCAATTTTTATTATATTAACTATTTCCTCCATGGAATTTAACTAGCTTTTTTAATTCTAATTTTTGCTTAAATTAATATATTAGGTTTCAACTAGACGGGCATTGAGAGCTCAGATTGCTGCTACTCTGGTATTGTCTGATATGAACATTGTCAGAGATGAAGTTCTTGAAAAGCTATCTGAATTCAGATTAATAAGGAGTCAAGTTGCGAAGGATGTTTTTGATGGGATGAAGAAGAAATCAAAGCAAGGTAAAAAGGAAAAAAAAGTATAAGCAGACTAACGAATATGTGGATAAAGGTTTTTGCTCGGAAGTATTTGTATTTTGCACAGAAGTAGGAAATCTAATGTAATGATCTAGTTTGCATCAACAAATGGATAATCTAACAAATTTGTATAAGTGTTAATATAGAACAATATGATATGATTCCAGTTCATACAAAGCTTTTGAATTGGTGGTATTAGTAGTTCTTAGTGAAATATATATTAGTTATAAATTTGGCGCCTATGTTATAAAAAATGGTATCTATATTATTTAAAAAGGTATCTATGTTATTTAAAAGGTTTCTATATTATAAGGTCACTATGTATTTAAAAAAGGTACCTTTGTTATTTAAAAGGTTTCTATATTATAAATTCACTATGTATTTAAAATGTTATTAGTTCAATGTGTTATATATAATTAAGTTATAATGCAAAATTGTCACCATATTCATTATTCTATTTTGTATACATATGTGACAAGTTTTCAAGTACCTATGATAAATATTTACCTAAAAATGCCTAACTTTTTTTTTCTCTTAAAAAAGAAAATAAAAACTTGAAAAAGATATTATATGCCTTTTTATAGTCACTATGTAAGTAAAATGACATTATATGAGATAAAAATTTCCAATTTCTATGTGATGCAAAAGGATCACTATGATATGCAAGAACGTTACTATGTGATTAAAAAGATTTCTATAATAATCTGTCTCTATTTAAATAAAAAGTCGAAAAATGTAAGGTAAAAGTATCGTATTTATATTAATCTATTCTTAAGCTATTCAATTAGTATATCAATTAAAAGAACGAGCCCCTCCTTCCCTAACTTTTTATTGGCTTAATCGATGTGGGTTAGAAGAATTGTTAAAATGTGAGTATTTTTTATAACGGTTGCTATATCATAATAAAGGTCATCAATCACTAAAAAGGTTACCACGGAATAAGGTTCCAATACGATGAAAAAAAATCACTATGACATTATAAACACGTGCTATAATATAAATTGAAGTTATTATATGCCAATATGTCACTACATCAAAATAACAATATAAAGGTCAATAAAAAGTTTAACAATAAAAGGTCACCCTATCAATAAAATTTTAACAATAAAAGGTCCCTTTTTAATATATGTGAAACAATAACAGTCACTGTATCAATAAAAAGGGCACTATAGCAATATGTTCTTTCTCTCCTCTATTTCAGCACTAGGCCGTCAGTAACTGATGTTGCTTCTTGTAAATATGAAGTCGTTTTGCAGTCTTTCTACTCTTCTTTGAAATCCTGAAATCATGTACATGAACATATATAAAGTGAAAATCCAGTGGGAAGTAAACATAGTAAAAAATTTATTTATTTTTTTCTACAAAAATACCTCATTCAAGTTTGATTTTTTTTTTGCGGACAATTTGACTATCATGGTTTGTTCTCTGACCACAAGTTCTACAAAGTCTACCTTTCCTTTGGATTTCCTCAATAGCTATCTCTTTGTCAGATTTTTTTTCTTTTCCCACTACCACTACCTTTGTTGGAAGACTTGTTTGGAGGAAGAATATCAACAACTATGTCATTAGATCCAACAAATAATTCGATGTGTTTCTTTTTTGCCTCACGTTTATCAACTGGACTTATAGAATCCAAGGCTTTCATCTCATTTTCAAAAGATATTAGCTTAGACAACAATGACTCAAGGCATTCAACTTTCTCCTCACAAATACTTACACATGAATAAAACCTGTACCATAAATCATCAACTAGCTTTTGCTTCTTATCCTTCTCTGCCCCATCAAGCAAGTTGTTTAAGCCAAAAATTGGTTCCTTCATAGCTTCTTTAGTCCAACGATGCAAAACATATTGCCTTGGAATCACAATCAAGAACTTTCCTTTCATGACAAAGAGAATGTGATGACATAATATTCCAACAGATTCAAACATTTTACAAGAGCATTAAGCATCATTAGAACACAAAACATATGTGACATGATAGCTTTTTTTCCTTGTGTTGTCAAAAATTCTATATTGCTCAATCCCTTCTTCTTCTTTGATGGTAACACTACTTATACCACAATTGTACAAAGCTTGCTTGAATTCCTTTTGCAATATGTAAAATACATTATGAGCGTAAGCAAATGCAGCATGCTTTTCCAAGTGCAGGAGGGTGACAAGTTGGGGATGTGTAGTTTTCGAAGTAGCATTCAACTTGTCTTGTGTGTGCCTTTGAGCATCTATTGCAAATTCATAACGAAACATCAACTCAACCAATAACAAATGCTGATTGGTGAAATTAGTGAAAAAGCTATTTTCACTCTCTGATCTTTGAGTTGACATTAAAATCCCACCCATAAAAAGGTCACGAAAGTAGGAAGGAATCCACATATTCCTTATATTATACATATTTTTAAACCAATCTTCATTCACTAAATCAAATTCAGACATCACATACTGCCAACCAATTTCAAATTCTTCTGGTTCAAGGTCTCTATTCCAAACAACAGAGTTCAGTTTATGAAGAAAGTCAGTTTCTAAGCATAATTTGGGCCCTACCTTTTGTGGCACTTTTTTCATAATGTGCCACATACAAAACCTATGTTTTTCCTTATTAAGAACTTTTTCAATTGCCACTTTCATCGCAGGGTCTTGATCTGTCATGATACAGGTAGGCTGACAATTATTCATTGCCTTTAAGAAAGTTTCAAATAACCATTCAAAGGATTCAATATCCTCCTTTTCAAGTAAGCCTATCCCAAAAGTCACACACTTACCATGGTGATCAACACCCGTAAATGGGGCAAAAACCATAGAGTATTTGTTGGTGTCAAATGTTGTATCAAATGTAATCATATTACCGAACAACGAATAATTTTTTCTACTAATTGCATCTGCCCAAAATACTCTTGTCAAGCATTGATGTTCATCCATACAATGCTCAAAGAAAAAGGCACCTTCACTGTTTTTAGCTTTTTCTTTCAAATTGTTTATAAACATCGAAGCATCTTTCTCTTGTATGTAAGCTTTCAAATCTCGATTAAAGTTTTTGAAAGCATTCAATGTTGCACCTATATTATCATATCTACCAAAGATGTTCTTCCATCAACTTATAAGACTTGTTTGGACCAATGTTCAATCTAGAGTTGTCAAAAATGAATTTTTTCTGGCCAAGTTTAAGGTTTCCAACATTTGCCAAAAAATTCATAGTGTTGGGAGAAGCAAGATTGTGGCTATGAGATTCATGAAAGACATAAACCATCCATTTTCCATCTGAACATTCTCTAAACCCAATCATTGCATTACATCCAACACGATTTATGGTTCTTTTTCTAGCTTTAGGATTTTCATCTTTCTTAGAAACTTTTGCTTTAGTTTCACCATCCTTTGTAAACCCTTGTTTATTACAATATAAATATTTCAAGTAGACTTTATCACTATATTTAATTCTCTTTTCAGTACCTAGTCTTACCACAAACCCACCAAATCTAGCATATTGCTTATAAAAATCAACACCTTTAAGTAAGGAATCAAAAAGCATACCAAGTGTAGGCTTTAGTTCAGGGGGACAACATGGTATAAACTCTTTTGTTCCTCTAGGAGTGTAACACACACTTGGGCCCTTTAGTGTTGGTAAGTTTTCAGCAACATTGGTAGTTGTAGATGTATTTGAGCAACTACCTTCTTCTGACTCCTCTTGCATTGTCTGCATATAATATCAAATATATGGTTTAAAATGGGTACTATAATAAAATAAATATGATCCATTCCATGGTGCAACTAACTGGGCACCAACAAAAACAGTCTAAAATATATGGTTATGGTATCATAAAAAAGAGTTACTATATGGTATTAAGCAAGGTGTTAGTCATTTAAGCAAATACACAAACACCTTATGTGCAACAATGTCTCCTAGTGTCTAATATCATATATCCACGAAAAAAAACTTTAATATAAAAAAAAAAATATATATTTATATATATATATTGCAAATATTTATACAAAAACAAAAAAAGAGCATATTGTTGATGAGGATTGAAACTACGAAGGCTACATTGTTGATGAGATTGAAACTAAATTTGAAACTAAAAAACAGAGCACTATTATAAAAACAGTCTACAATATATGGTTATGGTATCATAAAAACATTCGCAATATACAAAAACATTCATGATTTATTATCTATTAATTTATATAAATAATTAAAAGCAATCAGATATGCCACGGAAGACAAGGAAATAACCTACCATGCGCAATCAACTAGAAATTCAAGAAATTTAGCTTACATACAAGGAAATAATCACAGTTATATCGGTATTGTAAGCCGCAATCAACTAGAAATTCAGCTAAAAACAGAAATTAAAGAATGAAGAACACTTACTAAGATTATTGAGGAAGCCCCAAATTATTGAAGAATCACGAGCCCTTAATTTTGGGAGTAAATAATCAAAGTAGCCCTAAAATTTGACGAATTGAGGAATTGACGATTTTGCGTTTTTCAGCAAAATTAACAGAGGATTTGTTCCTTGTATTTCAACCGTTAGATTATATCATTAATAATCAATGGCTGAGATTTGCTGTTTTTAGTTTTCACCATAAGCCCTGTTTTCAGCAAAACCCTCCCGTATATATATATATATATATATATATATATATATATATATATATATATATATATATTACACAAGCTTTGAAATATGTTTTTTTTTTGCCATGCATAGTTTAGAGATGAAAAAAAAACTTCCGAGAAAATTACGCTAAGAAAGTAAGAATCAACATGTATCATGACTATATTTGTTTAAGGGTTTGTTCTGTTCACCTTATTTTCACTTGCTTCCTGTGTAACAAGTTCAGATAAATTTAGTTAAGTTCAGGGAAAATAAGTTTTGATAAGGCCGGGTTACCTACCTTAGTACAAATTACAACTAAAATAAGTTTTCATAAAGTCTAATAAGTTCATGTAAGTTCAGATAAAATAAGATACGTTCAAATAAGTGAAAATCAGGTGAATAGAACACACCCAAACATATAACTTTTTTAAAAAAAAAAATTATTATAACTTATATAAGAGATATGTATATATACTATAGCTAAGATGATATAAAATTTGAAAATTCTTTCCTTATTTAAAAAAGGTCAAAAGCGTTGACTTAATGTATATTGAAAACTGTAAAATGTTCGTTTTAATTTTTACCGGATTAAATTTACCAAAATCAATTTTGATTTGGTTAATATATTGTGAATTTGTATAATCAATGTTTATATGGTACGTAATTGGCAAGTAAAATAAAAAGAAAAAAGAAATCAAAATAGTAGTTTTGGTGGGGAAAAAACAGCACCGAGAGGTGACATGTGTCACTGCCGATGTCTGTTTTAGTGTTAAGTTGATGATTGATGATAAAAATTTGCTATTTAGGAATTTTAAAACTCTGTCAATTAATTTTTAATTAAGTACAACACTTCCCTAAAACTGTTGTCTTTATTTAAGTGCAACACTTTCTTCTCTATTTTTCCTTATCTCTCTTTTCTAATGGTTTTCACTCTTACCTTTTTATTTTATTTTTTTTACAGTATTATTATCTAAATCCTCTTAAATTCTATACTTTTTTTATTTTTAAATACAACAATCAGCTATTATATATTCCATATATTTTTATAATTTTTAACTTCTTACGTTTGCGTATTATTTAACAAATTCAATTCAACTTTCTAAAACTCATTATTGAACTACTCTAAAAAAGGGTAATACGTAGTATAATCGTTAAATGTACTTCGTAAAATATTACGAGTACTATGTATTAATCTAAGAATCTAAGACGATTCCACTTATATATTATTTAACATGTTCTAACCCAACTTTTTACGAGTAAAATTTTGTATCACCTACACTACATTTAAAGAGGTAATACAATCATTAAAAGCATTTTTCCTAAATTAACACTCAGTACTCCGTATTAGTTTAAGAAATTAAGGCAAAAACACGGTCGATTTTGGAAATCCTTATCTTTTTTAAGCTTCTTACATACAACCCTTACCACGACATATTTCATTTTCCAAAAATTAAAAAAAAGACACAACGGAGTGAGTATAAAAAAGAGAGAGGATTTGTTCATTACTCCGTAATTTGAAAAAAAGGAGTAGGTAAGTAAAATACAAACTCCGTATCAAATTGAGCCTTGTTTTTATGATTAATCCTTTGAATTGGATTTAATAAGGTTTGGAATCCGGTTTTCAGATACACTTTTTCTAGAGAGAGAGTGTCTCTTCTTGTGTCTCTTTTGTGTCTGTCTTTGTTAGGGAGAGAAAGTAATAGAAACCGTGTTTCAAACCCAAGGATCTCAAATCTCAACCCAGAAACTCAACAATTTTTCAAGGTAATACTCTTTTTTTTTTTTCTTTTTTGATTTTATCAATTACCCTTTTCCTGATTTTCATTTTTTGCAACATTTTTTCATTAGATCTGTTTGATTTTCAACAGTCATTTTCTGGGTCTAATTTAAAGTTCCGATTTTTAGCGGATTTTTTGAGAAATGGAGCTTATTTGATGTTCAAATTTTGTCATTGTTTTCTCAGTTGATTTTGTTGACTTTTTGCAAATATTTGCTTTTTTATGTTTATTTTTTGATTTTTATTGATTTATTTCTTGGCATAGGATAGAATTCAGTAAAGTTTGCATCTTGGAGGAAGTGGTTGGTGGGTGGTTCATCTACTGGTGAGTAAATTTTATTTTTTTTTGGAATTTGTTTGGGATTTTAATGTGTCATTGGAATCGTGTATTTTAGATTGTTGCTAGGGTTTTAAATTTTGAATCTTGTTATGAATTTATGATCAAAGAAAGATGGGTTTGACTCCTGAATTATTGAGATTTGGGGGTTTGTTTGAAATGTTATGCTTATTTATATGCTCTAATTAGTGCTCATTTCTGGAAAATTAGCCATTTTTTTTTCTGGGTTTCTTGCTTGAACTCATTAATTTGATATATAAGTAAAATTAAGTTTTTGTTGTTTGATTGATGTAAATTGTGAGTTTTAATTTGAAAAAGCTATCTAAAGTTGTATTCTTTGATTGTATAAAAGCATAGAAAGTTGTTTCCATCTGAAGTGCGGTATGTTGTGCTTGTTCTCCATTAAAGTCCATATGAGAAGCTTTTCTTTACTACAGAATCTGCTTTTCTTGCTTTGCTCTTTTACCTTATCTTCCTTTATTGTTTTACCTCCTTGCTAAGGTTTCAAGTTGAAAATTTAATGTTTGTGTGTATTTTCAGCTGTATGTGTGGCTACTGATCTGCAAGTGAAGGATTAATTTATGCAACCTTATCAAAGGAGAAATTAAGATATAGCTATTTAAGGACATGTCTTTCCGAAGCATAGTCCGTGATGTGAGGGATAGTTTCGGAAGCTTGTCTAGGCGAAGTTTTGAAGTGAGGCTCTCCGGTCATATCAGGGGAAAATCGCATGGTTCAGTTCATGAATTACATGACCCTCCCGTTGTTATCCAGAACAGCAAATGGGCTAGCCTTCCTCCTGAGTTGCTTCGCGATGTTATTAAGAGATTAGAGGCTAGTGAAAGTACATGGCCTGCTCGGAAGCATGTTGTTGCGTGTGCTGCTGTTTGCAGATCCTGGAGGGATATGTGCAAAGAAATTGTTAGGTGCCCAGAGCTGTCTGGAAAGCTTACCTTCCCCGTCTCATTAAAGCAGGTAGGTTCAGTTTCCATGCTTGTGGAGTCTTCATTTGGCTTTTGTTTTGGGACTCGAATGCCGTTAGATGCAGTCCATTACTAGATATCCTTGTTTGCTAGTTGTCTAGAACTAATGTGTTTGTTTTGAGTGCATCCCAATAATAAATGTGACGCCTTGTTTGTCTTCTGCAGCCTGGTCCACGAGATGGAACAATTCAATGCTTCATTAAGCGAGATAAATCCAACTTAACTTACCACCTTTTCCTTTGTCTTAGCCCTGGTAAGCTGATTACTATCAATATCAATTTCTTTGCTCTTTGGATTCTTGTTTTATCTTATTTTTAAAGGATAGTTTATTCACATTATTTGGGTGTATTGTAGTATTTGTATCCCCTTGCCGGGGGAGAGAGAGAGAGAGAGAGAGAAGGGGGGGGGGTGTTCAGTCCTTTGTTAATTCATCTGTTACTTCATAGTGCTGGTTTTAATGACATGTTCTTCGCTGTGGTGTTCATTCAACAACTGTATATCCACTTCTTCACCTTAGCTCAGCTTTTGATTGCTTGATATGCTGTCAATTTTGCCTAGTTTATTTTTCATTTTAGCTGAAGATGATGCAATGCATTATATTTTTACAGGGAATGTATTAACATTCATTGATGATGCAATGCATTATGTTTTTATAGGGAATGTATTTAACTTTCATTGATGTTAAAGCTGTGGTTATGCTCATTCAGTTCTTTCTTGCTGTCTAATTTTTGCAGCTTTGTTGGTCGAGAATGGAAAATTTCTTCTTTCTGCAAAGCGGACCAGGAGAACCACCTGTACAGAGTACGTCATCAGTATGGATGCAGATAACATATCGAGGTCCAGTAGCACTTACATAGGAAAGTTAAGGTAATGGTCTATAAGTTACTATGGTTTCTTTTTAAAGCTATGGTTTTCTAAAGCATTTACTTGATAAATTGCCAAAAGAATCTTCCCTGGTGAAAACTAAATGCTTCACCACATATAGAAATTGGTGGAAGCTTATTTGGCTTTGTAGATTAGTGTGTAAAAGCGATTGTTTCCGAGGGGCATGCTCACACTAATAGTTTAGTGTATGATCATTATTTGTCAATTAGCCTTTTCTGCCTTTTGTGGATTTTTCACTTGAGGGTGCTTAAAAGCTTAGTTTCTTTGATGCTTTGATTCTGTAGGACATATGCTAAATTCTATCTAGCTTAAAGTTGGTGTAAAATTACTCAATTCTTTCTGAAAAAAATCTAATTTAGAACCTGCCTTTCTATTGGTTTCGTGTATGATAACTTTTAAAAATATCATCCCTGTGACGATTAGTAGGTGCTTTGCCTTAAATTAATGGCCATTTCTTGGTTAGTGGTTTACCCTCGTGGCCACAAACCTGATTCCAATTTGAATTCGCACTTGATATCTCCTTGTATTTGGTTTTTGGAGAATCAGACAAGGTGGAAAGGTGCTAGAGTATATGTCACTATATTGCTTATTTTGAGTGTCTGCCACTTAATGTGTTAGGTATAAAGAATATGGCCAAATATTATGAGAACTACTATACTTCATTTTCTTATTCTTTGCTGCTACTGGACTCAATGTATACAAATGATTTTGATGGAATCATTTAATCTAACTTGACGGTCAATCCTTGTTTCAGGTCAAATTTCTTGGGAACGAAATTCATCATTTATGATACACAGCCACCCTACAACAGCTCACAATCATCACCTCCAGGCCGTAGCAAGAGGTTCTACTCCAAAAAGGTCTCCCCAAAAGTTCCTACAGGCAGCTATAATATTGCCCAAGTCACGTATGAGCTGAATGTTCTTGGTACACGGGGACCACGCAGGATGCACTGTGTTATGCAATCGATTCCGAATGCCTCTCTAGAGCCAGGTGGAAGTGTACCAGGGCAGCCTGAGCTCCTCCCCCGATCTCTTGAAGACTCTTTCCGCAGCATGTCATTCTCAAAATCAATTGATACTAGCACCGAGTTCAGTAGTTCCCGGTTCTCTGACATCATGGGCCCTCGTGACGACGATGAAGAGGGCAAAGAGAAGCCCTTGGTACTCAGGAATAAGGCCCCGAGATGGCACGAACAATTGCAATGCTGGTGTCTAAATTTCCGGGGAAGAGTGACCGTTGCTTCAGTGAAGAACTTCCAACTTATAGCTGCAACACAACCTCCTCCTGCTGGGGCACCAACACCTTCTCAGCCCGCGCCGTCATCAGACCATGATAAAATCATTCTACAATTCGGAAAAGTTGGCAAGGATATGTTCACCATGGATTACCGGTACCCTCTCTCTGCATTTCAGGCCTTTGCAATCTGTTTGAGCAGCTTTGACACTAAATTGGCATGTGAATAGTAGGAAATCAATCGATGGCAATTAAAGCTGAAAAAACTAGCAAAAAAACTTTAAAAAAAGTGTTGAGAACATTTAGCAGGTCATAATCACAAGGGTTTTTCGTCGTAGAGTTGATTAGCGTTTGTCTATGAAAAAAGTCATTTGTATAACCTTCGATCAATGAAAAGTGCATTGAAGGATAACAGAATCGTTGATAATGCATCTGTTTTCAGTCTCTTCTATTGTAATTCTATGCACTTTCACTTGTAGATCGTTGTTCTGTGTTGAATGTTGTCTTATGATCTGTTGTAACAAATAGTGCCAGAAAAGGATTCGAAACTTTCTAGTCGCCTCTAGCTCCATCGTACAATGTAGTTTCTGTTGATTCCCTAGCCAGATTATTGTTGTTTCTGGCTCATAAAAGATGAAAATTGCTTGGCTGATATCTTGTTGTGATTATTGTTGTGCTTATCGTTGTACTACAATATGCAAGTTTTGATCTAATGTTCTTTGAAGTTAAAATGTCAATGAATGTACCATTAAAGTTAGAATTGACTTAGATTTTAACCTAATCATATGACTTATGATTATGAAAAGGACCAATGTTAATTAATGTGCATGCCTAATGAAGTAACGATTTTACCATTTCTTTTTCTTGGAACCACTTGATAATATTTGTGGTTAACTTTTTATTTTTGGAGAGAAAAATCTAAGTAGTTTGCAATTTAGTCAACAAAATTTATAGGTGAATATTAGGTGAGAGATGTTGATTTGGTCCATTTTTATCCCGTGTATAGAGTGACATCTTTATGCAATTTGGTAGTTTTAATTACTTTTAAATAGGTTGGGTATACTTGTCATAAAGAAAAACTTAAAAAATAGAAGAAAGAATGAATTTGGTGGAAAGGTCTCTTAGTTTAGCATCAAAAAAGCAATTTTGTGATTGAGATTAGTTTTGTTAATTACAAGTAGATTTGTCTAGATGAGTAAGATGACCTGATTTACAACAATTAAATAAAGCAAGTAGCAAGCCACTGGTGGCACGTTTGATGGAAGTGTGCACCTTTGACCTCGTGTATCGTACCCTTTGAGCGTATGAAATGTTTTTCAATAGTATATAACTCATAAGTTAGCGTAGGTGCTGCTCTTGCTCAAGAAAGTATGTGATGAGTATTAAACCAATCCTGAAACTTCAAACTATTAATATGGTGTCAAGAGCAATCGTAACAAGAAGGTTTTAACCTCAAGGAACTCTCATATAAGGCGCATGATAAAGTATAAAACTAATCTAGAGACTTTAACCATCAGCTTAAAAGTGTTGGTATATAAAATGTTTCCACGGTATATTTTCAACATATCAACATTTTATTTATCTGTAATAAATAATTATTAGACTACTAATTGTCTTAGCTATATTGACAAGTGTAATAGTTTAATTTTTGCATTTTGCCTTAAAATGCAGATAGCGGGAAGCATGTTGGCATATAAGGATTGAAATTCAAGGGAAGAAACTTTTCTAAACACCAAAATTTGCAAGAAGTTTGACGAAACAAGAATAGACCATCAAGTTAGATTAAACGATTCAAAATGCTTAACTAAATGTTTCTAAATACACTTGTTTCGAATCAGCTTAGCTTGTTATTACTTATCTTTATATACTAATTCCAGATTCCTAATTAAGATCGTTTTGTCCAAATACTTATATTATATGACTTTACGTGATCATTTAATTCAAATTAGATCCTTCAACATACTATGTAAGCAAAACGAATTAATACAAGTATTAAAAACAGAGAAGATTCAATTCCTACCGAAATTATTTTAATCTACTATACGATTTCGAGTCGAGTACTAACCCGTTACCCGTGATTGCAAGCAAGAATAATCTTTCCACGCACGTAGGCACACGTAATTGTTTTATTTGTTGCACAATTGAAATTATTTGCTATGCTCCAAACATGGTGTGTATTGCATATATATATAAGTCATGTGCCAATAATTTTTCAAACTTTTCTGCACGTTAGACGTTACTCCTAAATCTGCAAGATTCAATCTTTTTCAGTGACTGATTGAATACGGAGTTATTAGGATTTCATGCCCTTATGGTTTGAGCAAATAGTCAGGGTCCATTAAAGTTGCAGGCCATAAACTTTGGGCCTTTTTTTTGGCCCATTTTGTAAAATGGTGAGTTTCTAGTCCATTCATTTAACATCCACAAATTAATGCAGTTCAATATAATTAGAGTAGCGTATAAGACAGTGGAATTCAATTGTTTTAGAGTGTTCAAATCTGAAAAATGAATACGCTAAGGTGAATGTGTTTTGTTATGTTTTTTCGTGTCTAAAACTAGTACTCCGTAACTTTTAGCTTCCAATAAGCCAATTTTTGGTCGTACTTACAGGAGGCTGATAATAAACGAGCTGAGAGCTGTGTTCGCGATTAGTATAGCATACTTATGTACATTGTACTACGTATGTTTTTCTAACAATTTTAATGTCTTGGCATCATCATTGTTTTTCAAGCAGTTGTATTCATTTATCTCAGAGTTTCATCATCAATTTGTTCTCACTGAATCAAATTTCTTTGTTTTCAATTTTTAAGCCAAGTAATAAAGCTGTATTAAGGCCTTTTCAGCATATCTAAACCCAGTCATCTGCCAAAGTCGCACATACATGATACATACCACTGGCCACATTTTATTATTGCATGTCCTTTGCAGTTTACATGACACATGATCGATGAGCTAATAAGCTACTCTCTACATCTGAATTAATAGTTACGTTCATATCGTCAATCATAATTTAAACGAGTAATGAGACAACTAAACTCTATACTACCTTTGTTAATTTTTAGTTGCAACAAAGGAGTATTTTATGTCACTATAAGAAAATTATCTTTTCATAGCGATTATTCAGGACCGGCTGAAGGCCTGTGCAAACAGACCCTCAGCACAGGGCCTCCAAGTGTTAAGGGCCCAGTAATTTTGAACTCCAATTGATATTTTTTTTTTTGAAAACAGCAGGGAATTATACTAAGATAGATCAAAATTCGCCAAAGTTAAGAGACTTTGCGAAAACAGACCGAGACAAACAAACTCATCATAGTTTCTAGTATCCTATCTCGCCACTAAGTGGGCTAAAGTGTTCCCCGTCCTTTTAACATGAGAAATAGCAAAACTATCGAATAACAAGGAAAGGGCTAAAACATCATCAATCATAAGGAAGAAAGGCGAGCAGCCTGCAATCTTCTGTTTGATTCCCGTTACAACATTCAACGCATCACTCTCCACTTGCACCTTCTCGTAGCCAAGTCTTCTAGCCACCTTTAGCCCAAACACCACAGCAGCAGCCTCTGCCACATCCACAACAACTCCTCCTTTCTTAACAGCAGCCGCAAGAACACTACCACTGTCATCTTTAGCCACCACACCCAGCTGAACCACATCACTCACAAAAGCATCACAATTTATTTTTATAATTCCCTGTGGGTGGTTTGCGCCAAGAATTAGCACCAGACGGGGCACTACGAGCTACATGTGGGTGGACTTTTCCAGCATAGCTATTGTATTCACAAACCATTTTTGACATACCTGTTGCAATGGCAATTGGATCAAAAGACTCATTGTCAAAAATTGACTTGTTTCTACAAGTCAAGTCCACGAAGCCCAGAAAAGAGATGCTATACTCGTCAGGTCCTCTTTTGAGACATTGTCACTTAGCCATAGCATTCTCGTGGTGAAACTATCATCAGGTGCTTGCGTGAGGACATCTTTGAAGTTGCTTGCAGCCCATATTTCACTTGCAGCAGAGCACTCAAAGATCGTATGGATTATGGACTCATCCCCTCTCCCACAAATTGCACAGGTTTTGTTTTCAAGAATATGGCGGTAGGCTAACTTCTCACGCACAGCAAGGAACCCCTTACATGCCCTCCACATAAAGTGACGAAGTTTTGGTGGGGCTCTCATGTTCCAGATTAGCTTCCGCACCACATCCTAAGTACTGTCGATATCCAGTAAGCCACCAGTTTTGCTTAGCCAATAACCCAATCGAACACTATAATCGCCGTTCTTATTCGGCCAGGTACATGGTATTTCTAGGACATCTAGTTGAGAGAGGAATAGACGGAACCAATGCCCGTTTAGCAGTAATAAAAAGGTGTTGTTCACAGCCACTATATCCCAAGAATTGCATTCATGGTCAATTAAATAATTGACTCTCAAATTCATATCACTATCCATCGAAGGTGTAGGGATTAGAGTGGATGTGTTTCCGGGCAGCCATGCATCACACCATACATTAATTGCACTCCCATTACCCACTCTCCACTTCAACCCTTCAGGAAGCAAAGATTTTGCCCCCTACATACTCCTCCAAGCGTAGCTAGGATCAAAGCCCACATTTGCCTCCAATACATCACAATTTTTGAAACACTTAGCCTTTAGGATCTTGTGCAAAAGTGTTCTCGTGTTGTGGTGAAGGCGCCAAATTAAAACTGTTTTGCGAGCAAGGCTTGGTTGAAGCGACGGAGATCACAGAACCCCATCCTTCCCTTACCCTTCGATTGACATAGTAAGTCCCACATTTGCCAATGCATTTTCCTTCCCATATCCGTAGAACCCCACCAAAACCTAGCCAAAAGAGAGTGAAATTCATCAATTAAAGTATCTGGAATCTTGAAAATACTCATCATGTATGTGGGGATAGCTTGAGCCACAGCTTTAATGAATATTTCCTTTCTCGGTCTTGAGAGAAGTTTCTCCTTCCACCCTTGGAGCTTCTTCCACATTCTCTCTTTAAGCCCTGCAAAAATCACTTTCTTCGATCTGCCAATAATAGTAGGGAGACCCAAATATTTTTTCATGTTTTTCCACCTCCTGAACTCCAAGAATCTCAATAATTTTCTCCCTCCAAGCAGTACTAACATTCTTGCTAAAAGTTACCTCAGTTTTGCTATGATTGACTTTCTGATCCGATGTCCTCTCATATTTGCAGATAATGTCAGCTATAACGGAGCATTCTTGCACATTGTCTCTAGCAAAAAGAATATTGCCATTGGCAAAAAATAGATGAGAAACTCTAGGGACCACATGAATGAGATTATTTGTTACCGCTTTATTTAACAAGGTCGAAAAAGCATCAGCACAAAGCAGAAACAAATATGGAGAAATATGATCACCCTGTCTCAAACCCCTAGTCGGAGTAACAGAACCTGAAATTTTCCCGTTAATTTTGAAAGAAAATTAACACTCTCAAGACAAGCCATAATCCGACCGATCCGCTCACCCGAATATCCCATTTTTTCCATCACCATCTCCAAAAAAAACTATTCCACACGATCATAGGCCTTACTCATATCAAGCTTCAAGGCTATATATACTTCCCTTTTTTCCCTCTCATCCTCTCTTCATGGTATGAAAAATCTCAAAAGCAACAATTACATTATCTATGATAAGACGTTTAGGAACAAGCGCACTCTGATTCTGAGACACCACCTCCCCTAAAAACCCTTTTAATTTATTGGCCAAAGTTTTCGAAATATTTTTATAAATTACATTGCAACAACTAATTAGCCTAAACTCATAAATTAATTTTGGGTCTTTGCAATTCGGAATAAGCACCACACAAGTATTATTGATCTTTAATAAATCTGCCTCCCCATTCCACCATTTTTTTCACAAAAGTAATAATATCATTCCTAATAATATGCCAAAACTTCTGAAAAAATAAAGCATGCACGCATACTGTCGAGTCCAGGTGCTTTATTAGGGTGCATTTGAAAGAGAGCATCTCTAATCTCTTCACCCGTGGGCTCACTATTCAGCATTTCATTCATCTAATCCGACACCATCTCCTCGATTCCTTCTAGTGCACTCTAAAAACCAGTAGGGGAGCTCGTAGCAAAAAGATCTCTCAAGTAAGCTTCAATAAGGCGCTCCAAATCAACCTGCTGTTGTAGCCAAACCCCATTCGGATCAAGAAGCCCATTAATTCGGTTGTTTGCCTTACATTGATTAGCTTTGTGATGGAAATATTTTGTGTTTTTATCCCCATCTCTAAGCACATTCGCTCAGGCCCTAGCAAACAAAAAATATTCTTCTTGCATATGAAGTGTATCAAGCTGTACGGACATATTTTTGCATAGCTCAAGTGTTGAGCCATCCATGACCGCCTCTTTCAGTTCACGAAGCTTCTTCTTAATGTCTTTGATTTTTTTAATGGACCCACAGGACTTCCTAGCCCACAAACTCAGGTCTTCACCACGTCGAGCAATCTTTCGATCAATATTCAGCTCCAAACTTGCGTTCCAGCTTTCGTCAACAATCTCACCACAATCCTCTCTAGAAAGCCATAATGGTTCGAACCTAAAGCTCTTACCCCTCATCCCTGGATCGTTTCTTTTCTTCAGTGACACCATTATAGGGGCATGGTCCGAACTATAATTTGGAAAATTTTGAACCTCATAATCGGGAAACAAAGCCATCCACCCATCATCCGCAAGAAACCGATCAAGCCAATCACGAACATAGATGGTCATAGAATTACCTATCTCCCATGTGAAAATGCTCCCTTTGAAACCCAAATCTCGAAGGCGACATTGATCAATGTCTTCCCTAAATGCATCCATCAACCTTTCGCTTCTCGGAACACCCCCTCCTTCTCAGTCAAACTCGTGATTTCATTGAAGTCACCAAACATAATACACGGTAGTGTGCTACATGATTTAAGGGAAGTCATCAAAGACCAAGCATTATGTTCTTAAGCTTGTTTAGGCTAACCATAAATGCCAATTGCTCTCCACCTCGGGGTATTATTATCATCTAACAAATTCACCTCAAAATGATGATCAGAATAAGAAACAACATTTGCATTAATATCTTTCCACCAAAAACCCATCCCTCCTGAATTTCCAACACTACTAAGGCATAAGCCATTTGAAAAGCCACATCTATTTTTTATTTGATTCAAAACAGAACTATCAATCATCGACTAACATAACAAAGACAAAATTCGGCCTCTCCCTCCAACATTTATCTAGGAGGGAATGAACTCGCCCCGGGTTGCCAAGCCCGTGGCAGTTCCAACTTAATATTTTCATGGCTTTTCGAGTGCTTGGTAATTTCCAAATCCCTCTACTTGAAAAGTGTCAGTAAAAGACAGATCTTGTGATGAAATTTCACCCCTTTTTTCCCGCATCAAATCGTCAGTAGGCTCATCATCATAAAAATGATCACTGACCCTTCTTTTTTTGCTCTTCGGTATGATCACAATGTTGTCAGAGGTGTCCATTTCTTCAATAACAAAATTTTCATCCATAGTAGTCTTACTGTCCTTCTGCACAACCTCACTGTCCACCTTATCTCCCCCCATTAGATTTTGATTTAAGTCACTCAACCCACTCACCTCCTTATTCGCCACCTCAGCATCACTAAGACCCATCTGCGCCTCTTTTTGTACATCAGAATCAGCTAAGGGTGAGCATGGGATGGGTACCCATACTGTTAGTACTAACGGTTTGGGTAACCGATAACCAATACCACTAAAAGTGATATCCATAAACCGAACTGATAAGTTTGGGTACCCGAAATTCGGGTACCCGGATTTTCGGCTTGGTTATTGAATACCCAATAAGATATCCAATAATAATAATTAAACTTAATAATAATGTATTTATTATGATATTATTTAACACTAATTAACAACAATACCACATGATCTTGACCAAATAATATTACTAATCATTGATATTATAAAGTGATTAGGAAGTAAAGTAAGAGTTTAGATTTTAAAAAAATAGATTTAAGTAGGAAAAAAAACAAAAAATTGCTTATCGGATCGGAACGGGTAACCGTTAATTTTAAAATAATACCCAATAACCGTACCCGATAACAAATTATCGGAACATGTACCCGAACCGTTATGGTTATTGGATCGGGTACCCTAATTTTCAGAACGGTTCCGGATCGAATTTTCGGTTTTTTGGGTAGTTTTGCTCAGCCAGGAATCAGCAGGAATAGTGCGTAGCACCATATTCATACTCCCCTCTTTAGTCATCATTTCAATGAGTCTCACTTCCCTCGCCTTCGGTTTCTCAGTGGCACCAACTTTTGGAGGTGTAAAGAATAATTTTCTAGCAGCACTAGGGGGGCCAAGTTTGATGGCATTAGGATTATTATAAGTCATTCTCTTGACATGCCTCTTGTTAGACAAATTCTCAACCCATTTTCTCTTTCTCCTTATCCACCAAAGAAATACGGGGGTGTTGATTAGACCTGGCAATCCTGATCCGATCCGTGACGCAAAAGTTGACCTGAAATCATTGACCCGAACCCGAACTAACCCGATCCGAAATGGAGTTGACCAAGTGACTCGATGCCCAAAATGACCCGACTCGAATGACTGGACCCAAATTGACCCGAAACTCGAACTTTACCCGACCCGAAGTGATCCTAAACCCGAAGTGACCGACCCGATCTAAACCTGAATTGATTGACCCGAATCGACCCGACCCAAAGTGGCCCGACCCGAATTGACCCGAACTGAAGTGACCCGATTCCTGAAGTGAATAAGGTGAAATGGTAAATTGCTTATTTTAGGGCTTCTTTCTTTCCTAAGTAATAGGTACTCACAATTTTTTTATTTTCTTAACGATTTTAATTTATTTTTCCAACTATTTTTTTTAATTGAATTTATTTTGGTGACCAACATAAACTTGACCCGACCCGAATTGACCCGAACTGAATTGACCCGATCCGATTAAATTGACCCGACCCAAAATTGACCCGATCTGAATTAACTCAACCCGACCCGAAATTGGCCCGACCCGAACTGAACTTAACCCAAAGTGCTCACTCGAATCTAACCCGAAACCCGAATTGACCCGATCCGACTCGAACCTGACCCAAATATTTGTTAACCCGAACGACCCGTTTGCCAGGTCTAGCGTTGATGCGGAGATGGCACCATGAAAGGGCTAACTGAAAAACCAGAGAGTGCTCCTCCTCAACATTTTCTTGCTCTAGACAATCTTTATCAAGATGCCCCAATCTTCCGCAGAAATAACAGAAATCCCCCAACCTTTCATATTTAAACCCCACCCACTTCGCCGTCGAGGGGCCAATAGCAACTTTAATTCCTCTTCGCAGTGGTTTTGTTATGTCCAACATCACCTTAATTCTCATAAACTCATCCCAGCCGAGTGGATCATCATCATCAAACTCCATAAAGCCCCCCAAAGCATCACCAACCTCACAAGAAAACACTGCATTGCGGCAACCAAACGGTACATCAAGAATTCTGACCCAAAAGGGGCATTTTTCAAATACAACCTCAGATGGTTGTTCCTCACCGCCAATAGACTTCAACAGCTAAATTTGTTTATCAATGGTCCAGGGTCTACCATCAAGAACTCTCTGTTTATCCTCATCATTGAAGAATTGGAAAATAAACAGGTTTGTATCAATCACCTGTATAGCAACATCATCGGTCAATCTCCAGAGGCTTTTCATTGTATCCACATTATAAGGCTTCCTTGTTAATATCTTACCCACCAGGGAAAGCTCCAATTTCACATTCAAATTATCATCAGTTTCATCATTCGACATAACACCTAGCCCGGTATTCTCTTCCTCCGTAAGTTTGAGTTTTTCCAATCCCTAACCAATTCTTCTGCCATCATGTTTCAGGATCTAAGAATACCCAATCCCAACTATGGATTACACAAAACGAGAGAGTGAAAACGCGATTGAAATCACCGAAAACGAACAACACTCAACCCTAGCAGAGGTTGACTTTTATTTTTATTTTTTATTTCTTCTCAAAAAGCGATGATTCCTTTTCTTCATTAACCAGCTTTCAGTAAACACTCATCCCTCAAAACTTCCGCTAGCGAATCTCTCCGTCAATCTTGCAATTCCCATAAGTAATAAATATTTCATAAAATTCCATATTCAAACTAGTAATTTCTCATTAATTTTCATTTTCAAGCTTTTCAGTTTTCGTTTTTTATTTGGGGAAAATAATCAAATTCAAACCTTTCATATAATCATTCAATGATTACCTAAAAAAAATTCATTTGTTGTAAACGGGAACTGCAGGAACAAAAATAATAAGAACAATGTTATCGAGAATGAGACTGAGTCGCGGATTATGTCGCTCTCTTTAGAACATTCACGGTACTGCCTCTAATTTGTGCAAGCAGGTCGAACCACAATTGGATGTCCCCCAGGATAAAACAGTCTCTCGAAATAAAAATATACTGATGGATTTGCACAGAACCACCGGGCAACTAAACACCAACACTAATTAGAAACTGCTCGAATTCTGTATTTTAGGAGGTAGAAGATTAGATTAATTTTTCTGTCTATGAAAATGGTGAGCAAAGTGTTCTTTTTATAGCCAAAGCAGTAGCATAACGGTCGCAATTAAAACCGTTCTTAAACCAGCGAAATTAATGTAAAAAACGACCAATTAAAAAACGATAATGTGGAATTAAAAATGAAATAAAAACGGTTATGAATAATGGTAAGGAATCAGTTAAAACAGTTACCAAAAATCAAGGAATTAATTCGGTAATTAGTTTAAACAAATTACATAACTAAACCTTGTTCAAAAATTTAAAATCTGTTTTGATCACCCGACCCGACCCAGCCCAGCCCGACTCGGCTTGGTTCAGCGCGCGGGTGTGTTAGGTTGGCTCGATAGGTAAGTCTTCCCTCTCCACAAAATGTGGGTAGCTCTTGGGCCACACCCAAGTATACCACACTCTACATAATAAAGGAGGTAAAACTTTCATTTTCCACCAACGTGGGACTTTGTGATTTTCACAAAATTCACACCCAAACACACTTTGTTCCAACAATCCCCCTCTTGAATTTTTGAAAACATTTTCGAGCAGAATCCTTACACATATAGGTAGTGCATAACAAAAGTGTTTTTCTACTTGAACTTCAGCGTAGTGAATACGATTCAGATTTAACAAGGGTAACTCGAAGTTTAGAACCCTGTCTCCGACAACATACCACAAACGACCTACTCTTGGTGTTGTTATAGACCCGTGCTATTACGGCCATGCATGTCTATCCCAGTATAGTGAACGCTCTAGAAATGCTGCCACACATTTCATTGGAGCGACCTAACTTCCACATTCACATAGGTGAATCTATCAAGAGTACTCTTGTAGCTAGGTACTCCACTCCAAAATGGAGTATATATTTCATTAAGAGTTTCTATTAACTCATCCTTGATCGCTTCAGGAATTTATGTCTTTTGAACATAATCAACTCATATCACTCCATAACTTGTTATTACCTATTGAACCTATTTCTTGGGATCTCTAGTCCATAGGTTAGGTTACCATTATGTGTGACTCATTTCAATGGCAATAGTCCCATTTTCTTAGAAAAATTATGGACTTTCTCTCTAGCCAATCCTTTCGTGAAAGGATCAGCCAAATTATTCTCAGTGCGTACATGATCCACTCTAACAGCTCCGATTGAGAGATATTCTTTTACAATGGTGTGCTTACGACGTATTTTTCGTCTCTTACCGTTGTAGTAACGGTTCTGAACTTTTGCAATAGCCGCGGTACTATCGCAATGGATCAAGACAGTCGGTAATGGTTTTTCCCATAAGGGAATCTCACTTAGCAGGCCTCTTTACCAAGCTGCTTCTTCACTAGTTGTAGCTAGTGCTATCATTTATGACTCCATGGTGGACTGAGCTAAAATAGTCTGTTTCTTAGACTTCCAAGATACAGCTCCACCGGCTATAGGGAAAATATATCCACTAGTAGCCTTAGAGTCATCTGATAAGGTGTTCCAGTTAGCATACTTTAGCCTTCTAAAACAGCTGGAAACCTTTCATAATGTAACCCTAGGTTCATGGTCCTCTTAAGGTATCTCATGACCCTTTCAATAGCATACTAATGCTCATTACCAGGACAACTAGTAAACCTGCCTAATAATCCCACGACATAGGCAATGTCG